TTAAACAATGTTCGGGCTACAGGATAGATTCAAACTTCTTTGTTGTTGCTATAATTTGGACTTGAAAATAGCCTTTTTAAAATGTTGGGCTCCCATGAAAGTTGTAGGCCTATATTTACCTTTCCATTCATATAAAGTAGACCTAAATCCAAGATCTACATCTCTAGATATGACCCAATTACCAAACAGTGTTCCGATTTTGACTGTACTAGCATCTCTTTTCTAAGTTTGGCCATCTCTTTGTTCTTTCAATTTCAATTCTTAAACTCATTAATCAATCCTTTCATTTATATGACAGGCCTGCATTTAAAGTGAATATTTACCATAAATTAAAGGTATCTTATATTATTAGATATATTATTATAAAACATGCTTTAGTTAAGGAGTTATTGGTTATTGATACTTCAAGTGCTAAATAATGATATAAAATATTGATAAAAATGCACTTTTAAGTATTAATCACTCGCATAGGGTTAAATAGAACACTACCTTCAATGGCTTGTAATATCTCTTTTGTATCAATCCATTTATCATAGTTTATAGGACCAATATATCTATCATTAGAGGGTCTTTCAATCGTCAAATCCATAATGACAAGAGTTTAAGCTAGTTAGACAGGGGAAATAAGGGTAAAATGTTGCTTAATTGCTGAATTTCCCCTAATGTTCTAAGGTGTATGAGGGACATGAGTTGTTAGTGCTTCCATAAGAGGTTATACAGACATTCCCTTCCCATTCCATGACCTTAACAGTTTCTTGAACGGATTGGTCATTCAAGAAACTTCATTCTTTATAGATTATAACTCTATTTGATAATTAATTTTGGGTGAGCCCTTTGTTCATTCTCCTTTCTCTCTCCCAGTCGAGTGTAGTAGACTTTAGGTAAGGGACCTATGTTTTACAACTTATAATGGGTATGATAATTTATAAGCAAATGCATGATTAAATGTATGAATATGATGCATATGCTAATGTATATTGGATATGAATTTAGCCTTTTTAAGAATGAATGATGGCCACCACTTTATTTGCGGAGCGGGTATGAATTTTTTGTCACATTTCTTATCAGGAGTAATTTTGCCTAAGTCATTGCTTTAAATCACGCTTTTCAACCAATAAATTTTACACAAAAGATGGCTCAAAGCCTTTTTTTATCAATAATATTGATAAGTCCATTGCATTGTTTTTGGAAAAGAAAATATAAGGAAAAGAAAAATTACATCAGTCTTTCTATTTAACCATATCTCTAGCAATATGTAGAAAAGAAAAGCAATGACTCTCAATTTTCCCATAAAAATCGATCTCAACTAAGTTTTTCTAGTAGTGAAGGATGTCTTCTCCCACCTTTTGAGCTTTGGCCCTAACAATCAAAGTATATTCGACAACTTTGTCTATATGCCTTCTACGAGTAGAATGTTGCTTTGGTTTAAGGTATTATTGTTGGTGTCGAACTAGTCTTTATGCTTTTCTAATGCTAGCTCAAATGGTTTACCATTTCTTGTTCATTAATGAGCTTCACTCTTAGCAACTTAATTTTATATTTCTTATTTATTAGATCTGCTTCAAAAACCTCAACTTTCTTCCTTTTGCCTTTAACTCTTGCAACCTCTTATGCTTCGGCTAGTTCCATCATTATATATTTCTTGTTTAGCTCCTCGTATTTCTCAATTGTGTCTACCTTCTTTACTTGAACCTGTACAAATTTATCTTGATAATATTCTATGCTTCCTTGACAATCATTGAAGTTAGACCTCAATGCTTCAAGTTCGGAGCTACTTAATTTGCATCATGTTGAAACCTAGTTCTTCTTTGTCTTTCTTAAATTCTTCTTTTATAGTCTTTTTTTTGCTCAATCATAGCTCTAATACTGTTATTCTTGCATCTCTGGATTGAACTTGCTTGCCTCCTTTTGTCTCTTTCCAGCATCATTGTTTCTAAAGTTGCCTTGTCTCTCTTGCTCTTACTCAACTATATCTGAAGTTTTTTTACTTGCTCTCTTAGTTCCTCATCATTGTTGACCTTTTGTTTTTTAATCGGCTTTTCTACAACTTATGAAGGTCTAGCTTTAGAGTGTGACATCTTAAGAATAATGGCTAGGGTTAACTCTCTACATCTTGTATACTCTTCACTTGTGCTAAGGTCCCTTAGACTTTCAAACTCCTTTATAATTATAACTAAATGCTTTCAATCTTGTTTGATAATTTTTAGCACCTAATATGCAGACAGATCTTTGAATGACCAAGAAAATTAGGCAAGTCCAACAATTATTGGGACATATTCTATGCCCTTTAGTTGTTTTATAGCAAGGGTCAGAGCGTAACTTACATAACCTGTAATCCTAACTAAAAATACCTGACATCTTTACTTACAACTCATCAGAATATTTATTGTTGTGACCCACAAGGCTTTCCAATCAAAATTGTTATTAGGCAACTCTTGCAGCTTTTCTATCAAACTTTGATCGCTCAATTTTAACCTTTTTTTTTTCCTTCCATCAACTTCAAAGGCTTTTGGCTAAACCAATAAAAAATATTGAAGATCAATGTCTTTATTTTAATATGATTTATTTAAATCATGTTAATATTCTATGTTAAAGAGCATACATATATTGGAGATTAAATTCTAATAAATTTTTAATCTAAAAATAAGTGCATCTTATTTTTAATTTGAAATATATCTTTTAATCATGTCCTTTAAACAAATTTTTATTGTACTATCCCAAGAACATTCAGAAATGTGAAAAATTTGGATTTGCCACTTACTGAGGACTGTCCGAAGTTTGGTTCTCACTAGCAGCTGTTGGAGGTCAACTTCCAGTTTGAAATCCAATTTACATGACATGGCGAGATCAATTAAGTGCTGCCTCTTGATCAATTTGACTCTGTTGGAATCATAGCTTTCTAGTTTCTCTTTTGAAGGAACTGCGAAGAAAAATATGATTATTCATGGCTCCAGAATGTTCCATATGGTTTCAACTGTTGTTTCTGCTGGAAAAAAAGGCAATCTATTTTCTTACTCTAGAAAAGTTCATGGCCGGAAATGAAGATTCCGGAGTTTCCAAATGTTGTCGTGCTGATGGTTTAAACGCGGCTCGATGGTTCCTTTTTTATAGCATTAGCAAAAATTCAAAGAAAACATGAGATGAAGAGTACCATAATCAAACCCATATTTTCTCTCTCTGTTCTTCGATGTCTCAACGAACAAGCAGTGAACTGTTCTAGCTTTTCTATTATCTGTGGTGCATCTACTTGTTTGTCGCGTATAAGTAAACCCTAATACTTGACTGATATATAATATTGTTTAGGTTATAGATTTGTTTTTTAAAAATTACTGGTTTAAATTTTATAAATTTTAAGATTATTAAAAAAAATTTATATAATTATTAATTTTAAAATTTATAAAATTATTTAATATACATACAAATTAATTCAAAAAATCATATTAATAGAAAAAAACAATATTGTTAATGCACGTCTCTAATTGTATTTTGTTTATGGAAGATAGGTAGCATTTGCTTCCAACTAAAACAAAAAAGATAAAAAGAAATAAAAGACAGAGATGTAGCTTTTTATGATGATGATATATGGTTGATGAAGGACGATGACGATATATGATATAAAAAATAAAATAAATATTTGTATTTAATTTATACATGGTTGATGAAGGTATAATTAGAAGAAGTAAAAAAATATATCCTTCATATGTATAACCATCAAAATTATTAATTTATTTGCTTAAAAACTTAACAAATTTCACAATAAATATTTTTTTCTGAACAAATTTAAAATAGTAACTTCTTCACTTATTAAAATCATTTTTATTTTTCTTTCAATATCATAAAAAAATAATTCATTAGATACTACAATTAAATTATATTTTATTCAATCATTAAATTATTATTATTTTTTAAATAATAATAAAAAATAATTAAAGCAATGATATATTAAATAAAATATTTGATTAACAAAAAGTTAAACTCTAACAAAATTGAAAATGTAAAATAATAATTTCATTATCATTGCTTTTTTGTTTATCATTTAATCCCCAATTCCCCATTTACTTCATCATTGGGCACCGTTTTTTTGAAGGAACCAAATATCAATGTTAAACGCAAAGCAAATGATGTTTATACAATGGAAGGTTCTTAGTGGTCATTAACTGAATTTGAAATTGACTGTACGAAACATGAGATTGATTAAGGAGTTCATCACATTTTTTAGGGAAGATAATGGATATACATGGATCAGGTTTTGTCTCATTTTTTCTATTATCCATATTTAAATCTAAAATAATTATTCAAATCCATCCCAAATGATTATAGATTTTTGATACACAAACCCAACCTGATCCGTTTCATGTATTCATAATAACTCAAGCTCAAATTCAAATACTATAATTTAAAACTATTTAGTACTTAAATAGCGTTATACATATGTAATTTTTTTTTAAAATTTAAGGTTATTTATTTGTTTCAAGTTGAGCTAAGTTCAAGTTAAATAAATCAAAATCTATATCAAATCCAAAACTTAATTTTTTATCTTTGAATTTTACTCAACTTGACCTAAACCCCATTAGGTCTAAAAATTCTTAACTCACTTGGATTAGTTTGGATCTGTATCCATTTAATATGGGTAAACCATCTCTAATGTTATAAGTGTTAATGGATATAATTGGATCAAATTTAAATTTATAATTATATTTTTGATATTTTACAAATTATAAATCCAATCCATTTATTTGTTTTAACTTAAACGGGTTGGATATATAATTTTTTTTATAAATATCATAAATATTTATAAATTGGGCTAATATTATTAATTTTCATGGGTTGAGCTTAGTTAAAACTAAGAATTGAACTAAATAAATCAACTCAAAATTTATTATAACTTCTCCTAAATAATTGAAATTTAATATATCAATTGAATCAATTGACTAAAATAAAAGAATCAATCGCAAAATAAAAACTGAACATATAATATAAATTAAATTTGTTATTATAAGGTATATGAATGCGTCAAATTAATTAAATTTTAAAAATTTTAACTATTAATCCCATCCCATTATAATATTTATTTATTTTATTTCATTATTATTTATAATATTTATATTATTTTATTCAGATTAGCTCAGATAATATAAATATTATAGTTGTGCCGGTTTTTCGAAGCACCCTTATCTAATGCTCTATTTAAGTTTTCAAATATTGAAGTGATATGTTTCGGTGTTTGTGGGTACCTTTCTTGGCACATTCATTAAAGCTTTAGGTTTGGGCCTTCATTACACATCAGCCTATCATCTCCCAAATCATTCCTTTGCACAAACAATATCATTCCAGCCCTAAGTCAAGAATTGTTGGTGAACTTAAAAAAAAAAAAAAAAAATCCCAACCCGTTACTTTACTTGATGTAAAAACAGTAATTTCAAAAAGTCTTATAGGACTAATTAGAATCTCTTTATAAGAACTTAATCTTAGGCTCTAGATTAGAAAAAAATTATTAAAATCAAAATAGATGAAGAAAAAATTAAAAAAATAAAGCATTGAAAAATTAAAAAATAAAGCATTAAAAAATAAAAAACCAAAACAAGTAAAGAATACTGCCAAAATCTGAAGAGAATTTTGTCCAAAATAGAGTATAACAAACCAAATCAAGGCATTTTCCTTCCAAACCTTATTATAAGGATTTTTAGGAGCAAAAAAACTAATGGAATTCCTCCATTACGAACTATAAACGTGAATTAAAACTCAATGTTTTAGATAAAATCAAATGTTTTCTAAGTTAAATTTTTTTTTTTCCAGGTGTAGAAAGAACTCTTTCGAAAGAAAACTAATTAGGCTAGACTAAATAAACCAATAGGCTAAAAAAAATATAATTCCTTTTGAAGCTTAAAAATTTATTTTATAATAAACTTAAATTCAAACATGAGTTGAGCCAAGTCACGAGTGTAATTATAAATTTAAAAAACTTACTTTACTTATGTTCTCTTTCCTCTAAAATTTAGATTGCTATTTGGATCTAATGTTAACTTTTCATATTATTATTAAATAAACCATAATTTCTTTCCCATGTATGATAAAAGATTTTAAAGGGTTTTGAATTTTTTCAAAATATATTTCTCAGTCACCTATAATTTACTTAAATCACATCAATATTTGAAGCAAATCACATCAATATCTTATGTTAAAGTGTTTACATTAAAAATTAAATTTCAACAAAGTTTTCACACCAAAAATAATTGATCCTCACTTTTACTCTACCTTAAATATTCTCTTCAACCATGATTTTAAACAAAATTGATATGGAGAAACTACTAGTTATGTATCTACGCTCCACCACAAGTTAAATATTTCTATTTTCAATAAAAAGATTGTATTTGCAGGCTTTTTTAACGCATTTCTATAGTTTGAAAAATTGAAGTTCAAATAAAATATATTACAAATACATGTAATAAAATAAATCGAGAACTATATGTGCAAATAAATAAATAAATAATCATTAACAATACCTAAAAATAAAACTTGAAAAACCAAGGGACAAGAGTAGATCAAGTTATTTAACCTAAAAAAAAAATATTTACCTGGTCGTATTTTTAAAATTTATTTTTTAAAATAGTTTTTTATTCAAGTAAATGATAATATAAATAGAAATAAAAATTAAATTGATTGAATAAAATAAAAGAAATAAAACAACATGCAAAGCTGTAGATATTATAAATATTATTTCAATATTTTTGTTTCTTTACATTTAAAGTTCATCAATACAAAATAAAAATAAAATTATAGATGAATTTGAAAAACTCTTCAAATTTAAATGCATAACTTAAAAAAATGATTGTAATTTAAAAGAGTCTCTAAAAAAAATTAGAGAGAGAGGGATAGTAATTTAAATATAAATTGAACCTAAAATAGAGGATAAAAAATAACTAAATTGAAAAACCGCCTCAAAAATAGAAATCAACCTAAAATAAAAAATTAATGTGAGTTCAGATATGTTTTTTCACGAACCTTAATGGTAAAAAAACAAAAACCTAATATGTACTTCCCTCATCAAATAAACTATTTGACACTAATATCATTCATTTTAGTGGTCTAAATCAGTGTCAATGATATTTTTTCTCTCTAACATTAAAATCTAGCAACCTCTCTTAATCCATGATAAAAAAATAACAAAAATGATTTTTTGTACCAAAATTAAATTGGAAAAATATCAAGGTATTGAAAATGTATAATTTACAAGATTTTTAAAATTTAACGATGAAAGTGCATCTTTTACTAAACTTATGGTATGCCACCTCTGTTTGACGTCTTTTTTATTTCAACCCCTTTTCTTTTGATCACACCCTTTTATAAGAAATTAAAATGAATTGGTTTTTAATTAGGATTAAATCACTGAAAAGCAGTTTGAGGACCAAATTAAAAAAACAAATAGAGGATAAATAGTGGAGCCTTCTAAGGCGAAAAATCCAAGCCTATAATTTATGTGATTTTTAAAGTTCAAGAACTAATATACATCTTTTGCAAAACTTATGGTATACCATCTATATTTGATATATTGTTTTTTTATTTTGGTCCTTCTTTTTTCCATCCCACACTTTCATAAGAAATCAAAATTAATTGGTCTTTAATTAGGGCTAAATCATAAAAAAAAAGAAGTTTGGAGACCAAATTAAAAATACTATATATGGATATATGGAACACTATACTTATGCATTGAGCATGTAAGGTTTGGTCCTTCCTTGGTGATGACTTACTCAACTTTCTAGAACTTGCAACTCCTTTTTTATTTTTTTGAGGTACCGTTTGGTATTGCGGTCCAATTATATTTTTGAAAATTTTTGAATTTTGTTTTTTAGCTTTAAACTAATTTTTTATATGTTTTTTTTATTGTTTTAATGTACTGATATCAAAAATTAATTTTAAAAAGTAAAAATATACATATTATTTTAATATATTTCAAAAATAAACATTTTAAAAGCAAACTCTATCCTATTTACTTTCAGAAGAAGCGGGATATCTCCCTTACGTGTCGGTTATACCATACGGTTGAGCTATGTCAAGTATTTGTTGTACCAAGGGTTATACAACAAAAATCTAGATTAACCATTTAACAAATAAATCATTAAGAGTAAACAATATAACAAATATAAAACATGTTAGTATCAAACATTAAAGTCTATGTTGAGTTTATACTATACTTATTCTTATACTATTCGTGTACCCTTTTCACCTTGACATAATAAACTTAATTAAACATAATGAAAGAGAAAAACATAAAAAAACAAGATAAGAACATATAAGTTAACTAAGTAAAGGAAATAAAATAAA